GTGTTGGGAGGGTTCTTGTCCTTGGGAACCACCTGCACGTTGTTGGCGGCGTACCACTCCATGGCCTTTTTACCGTAATGGCAAGATGCCAAATCCGGCCAAAACAGTACGGAACAACCGTGTTTCTTCAGGAAAGGCAGCAGACGTTTATTCAAACACTCTTTCACGTAAATTTCTTGGTTGACAGTCCCGGAAGCTATGAAAATGCTGCTTTTCAAGCCACAGGTACAGATGGCTTGCCAAACCAGATATTTCTTTGCGAACTTTGACAGTTTCATGTGCTTGAAAACATCTGCTACCTTTCCCCTTCCTTTTGCCGTATAAAACTCCTGTCCCGGAAGCTGCTTGTAGTGGGCTTTGACGTAGGTTTCGTCGTCCATTACCACGCAGTCAAACTTCGTCAGCATCGTCGTGTACAGCCTCCGGGATCGTGCTTTGGCCGTCGTATTTTGTTTATCATCGCGATTTGGAGTCACTACCTTCTTGTAAGTCGATAGTCCGGCTCGTTTTTTGGCGATTGTAGACGATACACCCAGCTTATTTGCGGCATCTCGGAGAGAGAGGTTAGGGTTTCGCTTGAAACTACCGGCAACTCTCTTTGTCGTCTCAGCGGCTTCCGGTTTTCGATTTCCCCCCGATCCAGACTTCCTGGCTGTCGACAAACGTTCCCCAAACACTTTAATTACATTTGTAACGGTTGATTTGGCAACTTTTAGCAATTTTGCCAACTTTGCGTGCGAGTAGCTCGGATTTTCGCGATGCGCGAGCAAAATTTTGATACGCTGCTCTTCTTGCTTGGACGGCATTTTGACAACTCAAGAGTGAATTCCAAAATCAAAATAGGAGCAACATTCTACACACACACACCTTCAAAATGAGGGGTGTTCAGGTTTTTTAAATGCAAAATTGAAAGAAATACGTCAAGTTGATATTGACCAAATTTTGACCGTATCACCCTTTAAGGGATCCTTAAAAACACCAAGTTAAATAAACTAATTTACTACTTTGCAAAATGGAATTTCTTTTAATTAATATTCCAGGAAACCATGTGAATCCAAGATGTGAATCAGGCATTCCTAAATAAATACAAAGGTTATTTTCTTAGTACCACTAAGCTATAGTCGTGATCAGTCTTGTAAGCGGTCACGGTAGTCGACACATTTTCTGTGATAATCGACTGCTTTTGCCTCCGACACTTGGAAAACAAGCTATCATAGTACAGTACCAAACTCAAATGTCATACGACAGGCTCTGTCATATGACACTGTCGCCGAAGACCGTCACGAATGTATGTATTTTAGTTTTTCTCATAATTAGAGCTGCTGATGTTGTGCTTGTGTGAATTCTGAAAATAGCAAGCAATGATGTCCTAGGAATAACATTTCTGATCAGAAATGGTTTAATTTACTAAAATTGAGGAATTAGAACGAAATTACTCATGTCATATGATAGTTATTTGATAATTTTCTTTTCTCTCGAATGTTATTCTACCGGTTGTGTTGTGTGAGAGAGACGACGGTAGAGCATGAGTGTAGGAATAAAAACAGACTGTCGCGCACGACAACGAAGCGAGTGTAGTAAAAAACGTCAACAGTTTCAACCCCTGGTCGTGATGATGCCACATGATGTTATACTAGAGAAGTAACGGGTTTCCTACAACATTTTTTAAACGATTTTCAATGGAAAGGCTAAATCTATGTTAAGAAAATGTAATCAGGAGCATTACCTAGAATAAAACAAAGATTTTTTTATATTACTCTGTTAAAGATATTATGACAATTTAATTTTCTATTCTTAGAGACGTTAAAATACTTCGATTACGAATGCAACACTCTAAGCTACGATTGCCTAAAATTATTGGTTATTTTTAACGATAAAAATCGTTACGTTTTACTATAAATTGGATATTTTTTACTATAAATTAGGAGATTTTTAACGTTAATTATTGGTAATCCATAATAGCCGATAATTTAGGTATGTGCACGTTCTTCGATTATCGGTATTTTTGACCGATATCTAGGTATTCTTTACCGACTTTTAGGTATGTGCATCTTAGCGTGAATCTTCTCCATGTTGATGGTGATCATTGAATGATGATTGTCTGCATTCAATTCAGGTGAAAACTACTTAGTAAGGTTTAACAAAAATGTACGAAGATTAAGAGATTTGAGGATATTGATCCAGTATGATACGTCAATGGATGGTGATGGGTTTGAAACTTCTGAAATGTTTGCTTCGTCAAACATCTGACGATGAAATTTGGGAAACAAACACGTACTCAAACAGGTTGCTGTGCTACCGTGCATTGAATAATGAGCAACTCGAGTTACTCAGAGCTACTTAAAATTAACTCCAATATTACTCATGATTAAAGCTGTCTTGCCCCTAGATTCAGCAGAAGGATGCAAAGTTAAGACCAATTTTTTTTCCAAAAAGCTTGCCTATCCGTTCACCAGAACGGTGCAGATTTTCCTCCAGAATTTTACAATATAACTTAATTTTAAATAAAGTTTGTGCCTTCATTTACCAAACCAGTGCAAGTTTTCCACCAGAAATTTTCCGTTCATTTCATTTATCAGAGCGATGCCAATTTTGCCCCAGAAATTTTCAATAAAGCATGCTCCTCCATTCATCAGAACGGTGCACCAAAAATTGTCAGTGAAGTTTGTTTCACAATGCACCTTTGTGGTGCAATTTTCAGGCTTTGCCTCTTCATGCACAAGAATGCTGCAAAATTTCCACCATAAATTTTCAATGATGCTTGCATTCATCAGAACTATGCAAATTATGCACCAGAAAAATTAATAAAACTTGCTTCTACATTCACCACAGTGTAGCGACCTTTCCACCAGACATTTTCAGTTCAATGTGCACCTCCAAATTTTTAGCGTGATTCAATTTTACGAATTTTCATTTTGATTAGTCCCTCCATGCACCACCTTGATGATATTTTTACACCAGTTATATTCAATAAAAAGCTTTTTCTTCGATCTACCATCACGAAGGTGAATTTTTTTTTAACCTTAAATTTACCCTCTTTTTTAAACTCTCCATGAACCACCTTGGAAAAAAAAATTTACACCAGAAATTTTTTGTATGCACCACTGTGGTGCAATTTTTTGACCAAAAAATTTCATTGAACTTTGACCCTTCATGCACCTTTGTAGTGCAATTTTCAGGGACCATCTCAAAGGAATTGACGCAATAAAAGGTTTTCAGTGCTCTTATTTTATGAAATGAAGTTATTTTACCTTCAAATCAAGTTATCAAGGAATCAAGTTATTTTATATCATATTTTGTAAATGTGGAAATTAAAATCTATTTTATAAAAGGAGGGGAAATCGCCCCACCTTGCTCCACCCTGTGCACGCCAGTGGCTCAAACGCTCATTTACAGCAATGGTCCGGGCCATCAGGCTTATTGGTGTTAGTGAAATGTGCAAATGTTTAGTGGGGTTCGTATTGCTTTGTAATGTTTATCTTTCTACACGAAACAGCTGTTGACAGTGACGTAAATCTCACTGTTCGCAGTATGGAATGTTATGGTTGAGTGACGACGTCACTTGAGTGCTCAGCAAAGTTTACAATAGTTTTTGCTTCTAACACCAGTCTGTTGGCCCAGACTTTATATAAACGTCATTGCATTTACTGCACTTCTGCTCGGAATCCAGCAACACACTATCGACTATTTTCGGTGTCCAATGGGAGATGAAAAAGTCTAGACCAACAATCGAAATAGGCGGAACAACCAAACGTAAACAATGGCTTTAAACACAAAATTCTCGAGAATCAAAACACTCACACGAAAACCAACAATGCCGATATCAACAACAATGATTCGATAAAGAAAGTTTGCTCTATCAGATGACGGTGTAAGATTGCTTGGATGTGCTTTGATTCTTGAGGAATTTGCGTTTATAGCTATTGTTTACGTTTGGTTGTTCCGCCTATTTCAACTGTTGGTCTAGAAGTGATCTCACCGATTTTGGCAGAGCGATATTTTCATGGTTTGGATAGGAGAGGAAAATTAATAATCGTTGAAGATTGAGAGATGAAAATATTGTCGATTCTCAGCTCTGCGAATGATACGTAGCTTATCTTGCAGCTGAGCGACAATTTAGATGTCTGATTTGATGTGATGCGATGTAATTGAAAGCAACCATAAATACCAATCATAGGGAATTTTGTAGGTGATGTTTGCATTGAATCTGCTGACCATCAATATTAGAAATTCGTTTGTTTAAACATTCACCGAACAAGTGTCAACCCGTCTGTCGAAACAACATACAAATCAATAATGCACACGCAAAATCCAGCTAATTCAATAAACCGCGATCAAATTGCGGCTGCTTGCCTTTGTCTGTCTTTCACATTTCAATGATTTTTTGATGAACCAATTGCATTTTCCAGTGTTACTGGTTAACAAGTAAGGGGGAGGGGGAGAAGGGTTCACAAACATGTGTACTGCACTTAATAGATACCCACTCTTTCCGGAATCTAGTTAACAAGCCAGTACTCGGAAGCGGATAATTCAATCCATTTTGTTTGATGGAAAAATGAACAACGAACAAACAGGAATGCAATTGATCATACACCTAAGCGCGGACCATCGTCGTTTTTATCGAGTCGAAATGGATAGCACAGGCGGGACGGTATCAGAATTTCAAACGAACGTCGATTCTATTTGGACTGAATTGCATTTCGGTTCAAACGTTTGCTCACCTACATTATTGCGTTGATAACATGTCGGAATCGAATGAAACTTATATACATACAATGTATAGCACAGAATCAACCACGGTACACAGTCGGTACAGTGCGTGTGTGCACTTCACGTCGTCGGGGGATTTGATTTGTTTTGCAACTGTGTGATGTATGGAACTGATATATGCGTGAAATAGATGGGGTTTTCAGGAGTTAGGATTGGATACACTGCTGGTAATTTGTTTCCGAGCTTCGGAAATGATTGCTAAAAAACACACACACAGCAAAGATACTCACCGATAAACTTGAAACTGTACAGCTTGTAATCATCGGCCGAGGCAATCGTGTCGTTTACCAGCTTCAGCGTCTGGTCCTGGGCAGCCGTGGCATGGTAGGACAAACACTCCAGGGCCACCTTCTGTTTGGCCATCAGCTTGCAGGCGCTCTCGTACATCTGCGTGTTGTGAATTCCCAGCCCGCAGAAGATGGCAAATGCCTCGAAGATTGAAATATCACAGCTTGTAAATTGTAGATCATTTTCCTGGAAAGAGGGAAATGCAAAACGCCAATTAACCAAGGCTGGAAAATCTCCTCATGAGGCGGTCGTCGCTGGCTAACCTTATTAATTAATTGAGCGACACCAATCACAATCTTCTGCCCATTGATGATCGGCATGCAGAGGATGGTTTTGGCGCTAAGTTCATCGGAAGAACCATGTGGTTGACCCTCTCCAGCTGCTTGTGGATGTTGTTGTTGTTGTTGTTGTCGTTGTTGATGCTGCTGCTGTTGTTGGTGCTGAGGATGATAAATCGGCTGGTCCTTAAGCCACTCGTTAACATCGTTGATGTTGAGCGTTTCACCAGTAGAAGCCACATACTCAGCAATCTGAGCCAACGTTGAGCTATTGAGGTCGTTGACCGAGGGTCGTGAAATGTTGGCTGCTGAAGAACTGCTGCTGCCAAGTTCGAAAATCATTGTGAAGCGATTGGAGTTAGATTTCTGTAATAGGAATTAAGTCGAAAAAAAAGTCAGCAATCAATCCGATCCAATAAAAAAAACCCCCACACAACAAAAAATTCCTCCCTACAAAATCACCCATATTTCAATCACACCACAACACAGATATTGACATTTCTCGGAAGTCTCGCAATCAAATCCCATCCCATTCGAGCTCTGATGTGCCGTTCACTACCCCCACCATTTGCGGAAAATATAATTTTCAATTATTTAACATATCGAGTCGAGAGTCGAGCCGAATGACATTATCGTTTGTCGTCATCGTCTCCGATCAGCGTCATCGACGGGCGAGCCGGTAACGAGGTCGTTTTGGGCTTTGCTCCATCCGGGATTTCACCGAAATAGAAGCTAAATAGCGAAGCTGATGGGAACCTGTACAATTGACTTTGTCATAGGAATTATACTTTCACAGGCAGTGACGACGACGACGATGACGACGGAGGATTAATGCGAAATGCTTCCCTTGAGCACCGGTTGGAGGGGGAAAATATGGATATTCGTTAAGTTGATACATTATGGTTGCATTCCCTTGGTATATCGATTTGCGTAGAGTCGTTGGCAAGGTAAAGTGGATTGGTGGAAAGTTGTATCTTGTGCTGGCCGAAGAGTGATTCCCTGCGAATGAAGACCAGGGTTGAAATATTTGGAAAAGTGTCATCTCATGCAAGCAGTACGTTATATTTTGAGAAACCTGCAGCCTTGCTGACAGATCGAAGGCAGTTTTAAAAGTAAAAAGATAAACATTGCAATGAAATACGAACACCATTAAACATTTGTACATTTCTTTAACACTGATAAGCCCTTTGGCTCAGACCTTATATAAACGAAATTGGTTGAATATGACTCAGTGACTGCGTAAAAATGTATGGGCAAATCAATGTTGAGAATAGAAAAACTATGAAAGTGATGATGATTTCAAAATTTTCTACGGAGCGCTATACGAATGCAATCCTAAAATGCTTTAATTTTGCAAATGGAGCTGTTACAGCGGTAGTAAAGCAAACATGTTTGTATACAACAAAAAATCTGAAAAGAAATTATTTTTTCTATATCATATATCTATTGAGTAGTCCTTAAGTTTTCTACTAACGTAGCATCAACCCGATTTTATTAGGCGGCGCCGGTGTTCTAGTGGCAAGCGTGATTGACTCTCACTCCAAGGGCCTCAATCCCAGTCGGCACAGTCGGAAGAGAAGTAAAGTCGTTGGTCCCCGGTCCATGAGTTTATGTGTCGATAGGTAGGGTCCAGGTGTGGGAGCTGCCTCCCTGACGTCGGTAGTATTGGTATTACGTGCTCGGTATCAATATTTGGATGGGTGTATCGATTAGCTTGGGACCGAGGATAATACCACAGCTGAGCCAAAAAGTTGAGCACGTTTCTTCGGGACCTTCTAGTCTCTATGGTAATACTGACCTATTAAGGTGTTCAACACGGATGAAGCTGGCGAGCTATATGATGTTTGGGACGAGGGTGACACGCTTGGCATAGATGACCCAAATTAAATCACGAAGACCCACTGAATCCGATTAGTAGCGGTGCGGCTTCTTCCTCCTTCTTCGGCGAATGAATGCTCATGTGGACTGCAGCTCGCTGCTTGCGGGCAGCCTTTCATTGTGTACTGGAGAACTACGTTCAACGCCACGTTCCGAAAGCACTGCTGCTGCTGATGATGATGACGACCAACCAGACCCCACCACACACGGTGATTAAATAAGCACCGTTTGGCGAGACCGAAAGGAATTCGATTTTAAAATCTGTGTTAGGGAACACTTTTTGCAGGCAATTGGTGATAATTTTGATCATCATTGCAACAGTTGGACATTCGTGTAATTTTCAATAATGACCTATTGAAAATTGATGAAGTGTTAGTCTTAGCAGATTTGTAGATAAATTTTCAATCGATTGGTTTGCTTAGAATTAAAATCCATCCATCATTGACAGAGTTATAACTGGCCAAACCTGACCACTTTTCGTAAGGCGGTCGATTTTGGGTTTTAAAATTGCACCCCTACTATGTTGCCGAAAGATGTAATCCTACGTCAAAAACAGATTTTATTTAACTTATTTGTTCCCAATATAAATGCCTTTGAAGGTTGCACTCGTATACTTCACCAAGAAATTTTTTTAGATCGTCTTCACTTTCATAGTTCTTCTATTCTACACGGAGGCCAACATTGATTTGCCAATTGCTATCTCACCAGATGGATGAACAATAGACTGTTGCAAAATTTGACTTTTTCGCTCCACAGTGCTTAAATGGTTTCAAATCGGGTCCTGATTAGCCTCCCAAAGTTACAACTCATTTGGTTAGAAACACAAGCCATTTGAAGTTTGCATGTAAATTACTATGGGAAATCTCAACTTTTTGTTCTTTGCCTTCTAGTCTTTTTCCATATTAAGCTGCAAAACAGTTCAATAGCCATTCTTATAGAAAATTTTCTCAGCTACAACTACATTGAACCATTGATAACTTTCGATCCTTGCATTTAATCAAAAAGTGATTTTCAGCAAAGTTGTAGCTGGGAAAATTTCCTACAAGTACAGTTGAAAGCTTTTGAACAGACCGATATGGTGAATTATTAGATAGACATGAACAAAACTCTTGGTTTTACCATAGTAATTCCCATACAAACTTCAAATGGTTTGTGCGATCTCAGTTTCTCACCAAATGGGTTCAAATTTTGAGAGGTTAGTCAGGATCCGATTTGGAATCGTTTAAGTACTGTGGAGCAAAAATTTCAAATTTTGCATCACTCTAATGAACAACTGCTTGTTGGGAGGTCATGAGGGGTGGTCATTTGAAGATGGTTATTTTGAAGGGACGATAACGGGCACGACAAACTGGCGATGAACGGCGAATTATCCGGGTCGCTGGCCGACAGTCTAGAGCAGGGACCCAATGACTCACTCAACTTCCAAATTAAAATCACTGACCGTAAGACCACCAGCGAAAACGGTTGATCATAGTAAGCTAGCTAAAATTTTAATAGTAACGAATAGCGAAAATCCAAATTTTCATATTGTCTCATTTTTCGTATAAATTTTGTAGTGAAAGCTCCTGGTTTTAATGGAACTATTTAACAAATGTTTCCATTTGGCATACTTTCTTGATAAATGGAAAAATGCAAAAGTTGTTCCAATTTTGCAGCCGGATAAAAATCCAGCTGAAGCTTTTAGCTACCGTCCAATAAGTTTGCTTTCTTCGAAAAGTAAACTTTTTTAAAAGATAATTTTAAATAGACTGATGCTTCACATCAATACGAACTCAGTTTTTGCAGATGAGCAGTTTGGATTTCGCCATGGGCATTCAACTACTCATCAACTCTTAAGAGTTACCAATTTAACAACAAATCTGAAGGCTGCTCAACTGGAGTTGCTCTTCTAAACAGAGAAAAAGCATTGGACAGTGTTTGGCATGAAGCTTCTTTGATTGCTAAATTGAAAAAGTTCAATTTTCCATTCCATATTATGAAATTAGTTGAAACCTATTAACCTGCCAGAGCTCTGCAGATAAATTATCAAAATTCCAAATCTGAGCGACTACCGGTTCGAGCTAAAGTTCCTCAGGGTAGCTTTCTTGCGCCTATATTATGTAACATTTTCACTTCGGACCTCCCTGATTTGCCTCAAGGTTCGCCAATGACACAGGCATTTCACCTAAAGGAAGAAATCTTCGTGTTATTTGCAGCAGACTGCAGAAAAGTTTAGATATTTTCTATTTTTATTTACAAAAATGGAATATTTCTCCCAACGCTTCCAAAACTCAACTTATAATATTTCCACATTAGCCTAGAGCTTCAATTTGCGGCAAGAAAAAGTCACCTAATAAAATTAGAACGAATTCAATACCGTTGTCTGAGTATTGCTATCGGCTGTATGCACTCAACGCATAACATGAGTCTCGAGGTTCTGGCAGGAGTAACACCCCTCCAGAACCGTTTCTGAGAGCTCCCTTTCTCTCAGTATACTAATCAATTGCGGAATGACGAACACACTTAAGATTGGAAATTTTGTAGAAATTCTTGGGCTGAACACACAATCTCTATTCATGAGAATCTATCATCACTACATATCGTCAGATATCTGTCTTCCTTGTCACACTCCAGACCGTGCTCACTTCACCAATCGCAGTTCTTCAATTGAAAATGATCTCAATCTCATGAGATTCCCGATCAACTTCGACCTATTATTATCCCGCGTATTTTTACTGAAATGTACCAACACGTCAATTTCATGAAAAGATATTTTACAGACGGTAGACGGGACCCGTCTGGATCCACTGGCTTCGGTGTCTTCAATGAAACTCTAGCGCCTTGAAAACAAGTAGGCACTCATCTTATTTCCTTTCAAAGGTAAGAGAGCAGATGAGTGTCCTGGTCGAAAGATCATAAATGATTACCTGTGTATGGGTCCCCTCACATTGCTCAAAACCAGGCAATGAGAAGGCGGACTCTCTCGCAAAGGCGAATTGTATGACAGGCAAATGTCAGACGATGAATGTTACCATTTAGTGCGTCAGAGTACTCTTTCGAGTTGGCAAACCGATTGGGACAATGGAAATCTTGGACGGTGGTTACATTCAATTATTCCTAATGTTTCTTCGAGAGCGTGGTTTAAAGGCTTGGGTTTAAGTCGTGACCTCATTCGCGTGATTAGTAGACTTAGGTCCAACCACTACTCGCTAGATGCTCATCTCAATAGAATAAACCTCGTGGACAGCAACATCTGTCGGTGTGGAAACGGCTACAACGTACGCAATGTCTGAAGGCACTTTTTTTGCAACATTCATGTACCTCAGTTTTATCTTCACAGGAAGTTAGTATTGATCCTAACAATCAAATCTGCAAAGGTTTTAAAATATTTCATCTTGGGTTTTTTGAGAAAATGTGTTTTGAAGTTTACTTAGCTGTTAACAAAGGCGTATACGGACTATTGATTATACAAAACTGTTACGGATCGAAACAAATTCAGCTGAAAATGA